GCGGCCTGGGTGTCCCGACCTCTCCAGACCTCGGGGACGCCCCGCTTCGGACCTTGGGAAAGGTCGGCCTCAGAGTCCGTCACAAGAGGCCTTAGAGGGCGGTCCGGCTTCCCATCGCGGATTTTGCAGGTCATCCTGGCAGGATGTAAGGGGTTCCGGTGGACCTCCGATTGACCCATCTCCCCTCAGAACCTTGGCCTCCAGGCCTGGAGGCAACTCTGCAGCGACCCAAGGGAGCAAGAGGGAGCTAGGGCTTCCCGCTAATGCCCTAGACTCCACCCTGCTCGGAGCACCTCAGGGTGCAGCCCAGGGGCTGCTCTGGGGGGTACAGGGACCAGCTTCAGGGGCCCCACTTGACCCTTCACACCTTTTTGTCACTGACGTCATCACCTTTTCACCCTCCCCTACCCCCCAACAACACCCAATAGCTACCCAGCCTCTCCCCCATCCCAATACCAAGGGTAAGTCAAAGTATTTCTACTAGGGTTCTTGTTCATATCTATATGGGTTTCTCCCAAACAAAATGTGATCCAAGCATGCGTCTTCTCTCCGTGGATGCTGGGGAGGAGGACCACTCCCCTGAAGAGGTGCCCTCAGGGAACCCCACAAAGGCCGTTCTTGTAGCTAAGTCACAATGGACTAGAGGCAGTTTGGTTTTTGCAATCAGTGGATGGCTGCAGACAAGTTCTCTGGCAGATCAGTCTTCTTAGGGTGCCCTCCCCCTCCCACCCCCCAAAAGAGCTCCATTCGAAACAATGGCTTTAGGGAGAGCTGCTGGTCCAGTTCAATGCAAAGCGGAGGTCAGCTTAAGAGGTTATGGCCACTTTGGGGGTGGGGGGAGGATCCCAATGATGTCATCTTGATAGAATGTCCTTCTGGACACAGGACATCCTAAGGCAGTGGTTCTCAACCTTCCTAATGCCAAGACCCTTTCATACAGTTCCTCATGTTGTGGAAAAATAAAATTATTTTCATTACATTTCATCTCTGTCATTTTGCTCCTGTTATGAATCATCATGTAAATATCTGATATGCAGAATATATTTTCATTGTTACCAATTGAACATCATGAAAGCATCGTGATTAATCACAAGAACAATATGTCATTATATATTGTGAAATACTTATTTCTAATCACAAGTCAACGCAATTTTGTCTTGAAGCATGGTGTAGCGCCGGTGGGTGTATCTGCATGAGTGGACCTGCCTGGAGACGGATAAAGGAGCGGTGTTTCAGTTCCCAAGACCCTTGGAAAGATGTATTTTCCAATGGTCTTAGGCGACCCCTGTGAAAGGGGTCTCGACCCACAGGTCAAGCACCACTGTCCTAAGGGAAAGCTGTGTCATTCAGAAAAAGGCAGTTACGTTGAGGGATTTTTCTCACCCATTGCATCCCCTCATTCTTCGACAGTAGCAAGGGCTGCCCTCCCAGCATTTCCTTGGGAAATTTCAACCCCACAGCGCTGATCTTGCCCCTTCAGACTTCCATGTGTCCCAGACTCGAGGAGCACTGAGAAGAAGCACCATTCAAGTCCCTCCAGGATGCCTACCTAGGAGTCCTGGTGGCACAGTGGTTAAGTGTGCTAGGCTGCAAGCTGCACGGTTGGCAGTTCGAAACCACCAGCCGCTCCTTGGGAGAAAGACGGGACTTTCTACTCCCATAGAGAGTGACGGTCTCGGGAACTCACCGGGCACTTCTCCCCAGTGCTACAGGGCCACTGAGTCAGTATGGACTCGACAGTGAGTGAGGACATGGTCACTGTTTAGCCCGGTGTAAACCGAAGGACGCGGACGTCTTCAGGGAAGGGTCAGAGAGCTGGAAACAGGGGCCTCAGAAGTGTAGGGACCTAGATGGGGGCCAGGTTGAGAAACAGTAGCTTCATGCTTCATTGTTTAATAAAGGTTTCTAGGATTTTATAGCAGGATTTTTAAACTTACCATCATGTACCAAGTTCGTTTCTGCCTCAGACCCCTTGCTCCTTCTCTCAGCCTGGATGTCCCAAAGACGCACACCCTCACCTCCAGGTGGTTCGTGGCTAGTGTCCCCTTGGTGAGCCTGCCTTATGTTCCTTCAGGCTAAACTGCCTCCCCCAGCCCTTACCCAACTTCCTTTTACACTTGTCTAGTTTGTTTTTCCCTCCGTGACATCAGATTCTCCATGTCTGCCCCTTTCCTGTCTCTCTCACCCTGGAAGATGGTGGCAGAGTGGCTCTGAGTTAGGCTATTAACTACAAGGTCAGCAGTTCAAAAACACCCTTGGAGAAAGAGGCGAGGCAGCTTTCTACTCCCGTAAAGAAAACCCACAGGGCAGTTCGACCCTGTGCGACAGGATCGACCCCGTGACAATGAGTTTGTTTCGAGGGTCAGGTCACTGTCGGACACACCATTGTGGCTTCAGCACCCCGGATGATGTCTGGTCCATTGTAGGTGCTCGATAAGTACGTTGTCCCATGAATACACAACAGCAGGGGTTTTGCCTGGACATACTTAGTCAGCAAAGAGGACCCTCAATACCCATTTATAAACTATCAAGGGCTCATGCGGGAGGGGGGAGCAGGGAGGGAGGGGAAAAATGAGGACCTAATGTCGGGGGTTTAAATGGAGAGAAA